TGCAGGTGATGCTTGGGATCATCATGGGGGTCCAACCCAAGATTTGCACGACTCTGACTTTGAATGTTACAGTCATTGTGGCATTGAATTCCAGGGTGGAAACATCAGTTTAATTGTTTTAGTGACCAGAAAACAAATTTTGATATGCGTCGGCTTACCCAAAATGAAAGGTTACGTGCCCTTGGCATGCTACAGATCGGCACAACACAGGCGGTTGTGGCATGGACGATGAATGTTCCTCAGTCTGTCAAAAGCAGGCTATGGTCCAGATACCGTGATACACAATCTGTACAGGACAGACCACGCTCAGGTCGACCAAGGGCGACAACTCAAGCCCAGGATCGATTTATACGTATCTTGGCCTTGAGAAATCGTGTCATCACAGCAAATCAGATCAGCGCTCGTCTTCAAACAGACACTGGTGTGAGAGTGAGTGGCCAGACGATTCGGAATCGACTGCATAGGGGTCACCTTCGCGCCCGACGTCCTCGCGTGATCCCTTGTTTGAGAGATCATCACATTCAGGCAAGATGTCGTTGGTGTAGGGATCGTCAACACTGGGATAATCGACGCTGGAGCAATGTGATGTTTTCAGATGAGTCAAGGTTCACTGTTGATTTTTTGGACAGACGTAGGAGGGTGTGGCGTCGTCGAAACGAGCGCTTCCAAGACGTTAACGTCATCAGACATGATCGATTTGGGGGTGGTTCTGTTATGGTGTGGGGAGGCATCACTGTTGCTGGAAGAATGGCTTTACATGTTGTTGCAGGGCGTGTTACAGGCCAGTACTACCGGGACAACATCTTGGCAGTCCATGTTGTGCCGTTCGCACGACGTCATGGCCGCCGTTTCATCTTCCAGGATGACAACGCAAGATGTCACAGGGCCAGGATCGTTACAGGTTACCTCCAACAACAGAACATCACCACATTACCTTGGCCAGCACTGAGTCCCGACCTCTCCCCCATCGAGCATGTCTGGGACATGCTTGGACAGAGGTTACGTCAACGTCAACAACGTCCTGCCAATGTCCAAGAACTTGCTGCTGCGTTGCAACAGGAATGGGACAATCTGGACCAAAATGACCTTAGACGTCTCATTAGGAGTATGCCACGTCGGATCAATGCTTGTTTGGCAAACAGAGGAGGATTTACCCGTTACTGACTTGGTTGTGATGCTGTCGTAACTTTGCTGTTTGACCCCGGGTATCATTTTACCCTTATAATGGTCAGTCTGTGCCTTACTTAGTCTAACGATCATTTGGAATAAATCGATGAATGTGAACTTCATTTCATTTTGTCATTTGTTTCTTCGTCATTTTCATTAGGTGACTTTAATAACACTTAAAAATCAAATATCCCCTACTTTTTTTGAATAGTATATTATGTGCTGTACTCCATATTTCTAATATTACTTTATTGAAAATGATATTTCATAACCCTTGACATTGTAATTAATGACTAATGTAATTTGTTAGTTATGTCTCATAAAAATGTTTTGCCCTTCACCAGTTTAGGCTTCAGTTTTGTTTTAAAACTTGAAAGTTTGCCCACCACTGGTTTGCGTGATACCATGTATTGTGAACAAGTACTTTATATATTTCTTAACAACCACCAACGTGAACACTCACAGCCTAGAAAAAATTTAAATACTAAGACTAAGAAAATAATAATAATAAAATAACTAATAAAAACATAGAAACATACCTTCGAACACATCTTGATACGTGATTGCAATGTTTTTTTCTTCTCCATCCAAAGTCTGCCACTGTTTTGAATATTCCACACAATGCCTCCAGGTGTTGCCGTTAAAAACCAGTAACTTGCAGGGCTGTGTTGCATTCTGATGAATAAGGCACTTCATTTTTCTGGTCAGAATGCCAGAAAAATGTGTCCTTGTTGACTATAATACGCCATGATTGAAGGATCGGGGCTAAACGTTTTCTTTATTTTGATTGGCCAAAATGGCACTCGGCAACAAACTTCGCGTGTATTCCTACGTGTGTAATGTTTATTTTTTAGGTGATTAGGTTAAAAAGAATTCCATTTTTAAAAAAGAATTATTAAATACTGGCACATGCCGAATGTGTGGAGATCATGGTTTTTAAATTAATACAAAGAGACGTGTAATTAAAAAAATTAAAATCTCCCACAGAGGTTGTTGCAACGAACTTGAACGATAAATGTCTTCGGTCTTTCGCCTAATTGACAGGACTTGTGGAATATGTGTCGCCTCGTTCTTCGAGTTCCTTATTACAAATGGCGCTAAAGCCCATTATGGTACACAATTCGTGTACCAATGGTAAAATTGGATATCAGAAGTCCATCTTTTCACGATACAAGAACACCAATGTTGATTTAAATTGACAAATAATTTGGTTTTCAACGTCGAGGACTTTGGATGATATTGTGTTAGATACTTAGCTACTTTAATATGACATTAAATTTGGTTGGAATCGAAGAGCAATACTCCATATCAATTGCTCTTTTTTCGAAGATCATAATAATTTCGTTTACATCGTGCGTGACTAATAGCGGTAAACGGCTTTGTTGTAGAAAATTCTTACGACACGTGGACAATATGGGAGTTCTCAAATAGTGAATGATTTAACGATGGACAGCTTCACGTCATTGATAAGATTCCTGCATATCAGTTAACTTTTATTGTTCTACTACCAGTTCTTCACCTTTACGAAATGGTGCGGGAGCCATAAAAAAAACTACAAATTTATAAATTGAGAAAAACATTGCCGTAAAAAAAAAAATCTTAATTATATTCCTAAAGTAATTCTACATTGTATTTATATACTTTAGTTTTGTCACATGTTTTCTTATGTCATTTTATGTTCCACGAATTTGCGTCAGTTTGATCAGTTTGTCAGCGTGCTTCTTAGTGCACAATTTGCACTAAGTCTAAAGACCAAACCAATTTTACAAACCCATTTTTGTCTCCCACCGTGGCTATTTGCCCTCCAGTAATTCCAATTTAAAAATGTCGCATATTTGACAGTTTTGACCATCTCCAGACATATTGATAGCGATAATCAACGCATTGCCAATGAGACAAGCCGTACATGAAAACATTTTAAACAACGTAATGTTATTATTAGACGTACGTCGTTCCCGTTGATATTCTCCATCAACATCCAGCGGCATATGCTGTCAAGTAACATCATATTCTATTGGCTGGTTTTAGACTTCTATCTAATTAAAACAAGCCTTACATTAGCATTCAATATGTTTGGTGAATAATTATGGCAGCTCTAGTTTACAGTGGAAACGCTGATCGCTCGAGGAGGAGGTCACTATACTGAAACATATGCAGTTTTAAAAATAAACAAAAACTGAAAGTAAGGTGGTTTATGAATCTAGCAAATTGGCGGGCGTATTTAATGACTCCCCCTAAGATAAGTCGAGGTGCGCTGGGTGGCGCAAGAACAAAAGCTCGCTTTAAACGTAAAGGACTACACTACCAACACAACACTGAGTATAATCTGTTGACAACAATGTATAAAACTTTCTAACACCGATCACAGGATTATGTGACTTCTATATGTGTGCATTATTCTGTACTGTCGTACAATTGTATAGTTACATAGTGGTGGTCGATTATAGCTATGTTTGAAAATTGGGTTTTGAAAAAAACGGTCATTTTCCATAGGTCTTGACCGAAATATACGGCCGACGTGAAACCCATGGTTCTTACTCTTAATATTATTATTCTTAATATTATTATTTTAGTGTGTTATAAATGTTTCACTAGCTGTTGTGGGTGTATGTTTTGTTTGCTTAGCAACCTATCTTTTTAGCTTGTGGATATATCACTGTTCGCCATAATGACATTTGAGTTCAAATTTTGTGAAAATCGGACCAAAACTACCCTACAAATTGACCACTCCACTGTGCGCAAATATCTTGGTTCCTTTTGATATTCGTGAATATCGGACTGTAACATCCTGGATTATGGTCCCTGATAATATGAAAAATCACATGTGGGCTTCTCTTGCATTGCAACCGCATCCCTATCAATCTTCATAATTCCCAGTCTTCCGTTTGTGTGTTATCTCCCATAAAATAGAATGCAAAGGTGTATTAGTCACTAATTCTGCCCGGACCAGTTTGGTGTAGGTGTTTATTAGGTCAATGTCTTGATAGAGTTCGAAGATGAGCATTTTCTGCTTGGGGCAAGCAGAGATAAGCAATTTGATTCATTGATGCTTTTGGGACACAATAACTTTAGTTCTAATTAAGTGAGAGTGATGAAACTTGGTGTATAGTTTCATTACATCAATACCTTAACTAAGTTTGATAATGAACATTTTTTGCTGAGGGTAAGCAGATTGATAAGCAATTTGATTAGTCGAGACTTAGTACACAATAAGTCTCCTAATTGAGGTAGAATGTTCAAACTTGGTGTAAGCGTTCATTAGGTGAACATTGTCTGCTTACAGTAAGCAGAGATAAGCAATCTGATTGGTTGATGCTTTGGGGCACGATAACTTTGGTTATAATGAAGAGAGAGCGATGAAACTCTGAATATAGATTCATTATATCATTACCATGACTAAGTTCGATGGAATTTTCTGCTTAGGCTAAGGAGCGATAAGCTTTTTGATTGGTCAAGACTTTGGAACATCATAACTCTGCTTTTAATTGGGGTAGAATGTTTAAACTTGATGTAGATGTTCATTAGGTGAATGTCTTGACTGATTTCGAGCTGAAGCTAAGCAGAGCTAATCGATTTCATTTGTCGATGCTTTGGGACAAGATAATCTTGATTCTATCTGATAGGGAGTGATGAAACTTAGTTTATGGTTTGATTGCTCGATACTTTTGAAAAAAATAAATGTGCAATTAATTAATGTGTCATCTATTTATTTTGGGATTTCGGGGGAGGGGGGGGGACATCAGCCTCACTGTTGGCTTGTTTAATATAATTGTATAATTTTGAATATCCATATTGAATTATCTATATTAATAATTGACGAAAATTGATTTCAGATATTAACACCAGAAATAAGGAGAAGATATTTATGTAGAATACAAGAATTTATGACAACAGACAATAATAGAAATTGGAGATTTCGATTGGAATTAGCGGAGTATGTATTAATTAGTCCCTCACGGTCAAGGTGTGCTTTCGACGAAAGTCAACTTTCCTTTGGGGGAGGCAAAAAAGATGACCACAAATTAGCTAAATCACTCTCCTAAAATACATTTACCTCCGCCTTCGAGCTATCTGCCTTTTCATGTGATCCCCTCAGAATATTATGAAAAAGATGTATGTTATATGTGACTGGTGATAGCATAATGAGTCTTAATGACCAAAAATTCAAATCTGAGTTATATATGTCACCATAAAGAGGGTGTCATAAGATGTCTAATGATACCAAAATCATTGCTCTACCTTACTCCATCGTCAAGATATTCAAGTTCAAAGTCCAGCAGACCAGAAACGCCTATTTGCGAGAAAACTTTGTTTAAAGATTACGCTCAAAATTTCTTCTATGCATGACAAAATTCTTTAGTAACCAGATGATTAAAAATGCCAAACTGCCACTTGCTTTCGGGAATGTTCCTGTTTATAGCATTACCACATTCGTCCTCAGCGCTGTGTGACACTCAGTCAGCGTATTGACCGTGTCCTACACTCCTCGCGCACAGAGTGCCAAGAAAAAATATCCGATAAAAAAACTCACAATTTGTGTCAACATATTTTAACCTATATGAATAAAAAGCCAATTAAATTACCTTTCTAGTGATACAAGTTTCGTTTTTGTTCTTTATTGATAATGCACTCAAAACACAAGTTATAAAATACCCACGCTAATATTACGTCACTGGCAGTTAGCCATTGTTTTTCCATTAGCAAATTAATTAGTGTTCACGGCACGCCCGGGTATTTGAGCGGTATCTCGCTGGGGATTCTCATAGCTCGGAAAGTTCTTCACGTACGTCATTGAAACTTTCAACGAATCATCAGGAAGAACCCCGCAAGGTTCAGCGGCATTCCCGATCAAAATGGCGGGTATAGTTTTTGAGGTACAAATGTTTTAAAAGATTGAAGTCAAATTTTTCTAAAACTCAATGTTGCGGCTGGAATTTTAAAACGGTGAGAACCTTTATGAAATATCGTAGATTATAATGATATATGTGTCGTCGGTAATAAAAACTGTTTTCATTGAGGAATAAGCCGCAGAAGTTTGGTTGCCAAGCCGAGTTCTTACGGCGAAAACTTCACGGGCGATTCCATTCATAGCAAAATGGTATTCCCCTATGACGAACATTGTTGACATCACGTGATTTTCTTTGTTGAGTCTGATTGGACAAACTCGCATGTCATTTCAGCTGTAGGGGGTGGAAGGCGGGTAATCCTTCCATGGATGCTATCACGCACGATATAAACAAAACACTTGTTATTTTTACATTTATGTATGGATTTGACTTGACAGTTGTCTTGGAACCGAATGATAAACATGTATGTCCCATAAATTAGTTAATTTTAGATATTAATCGAATTACTAAAACTATAATAGTATAATTATTTACCAAACATTTCATCAATAATCAAGTAGTCTAGAGATTATAGGCCTATCAAATAATATTATCATTTTGATTATGAAACTCAATAAAATGGATCAATTTTAGATATTAATATAATTAGTAAATTATGTAAAACTACAATTATTTACCAATCATTTTATCAGTAATCATGTAGGCTAATTAATATTATCATTTTGATTAAAATGTAACGCAATAAAAATGGTTTAATTTTAGATATTAATATAATTAGTAAAATTATGGAAAACTATAGACTACTTGATTATTGATGAAATGTTTGGTAAATAATTATAGAATAATCTTTCATTTCATTTTCCAATTATAATATGTGAGGGAATTTAGCATTCCTATATCATAAAACTTTTGAAACCTATTTTTCATGTATTTGTGAAAGATGCAAGAAGTTTCATGAAGGCGCATCAACTTTCGACATTCCACGTCTCATATTTGAAATATTGAACAAAATAAACAATGTCTAAAAACAACTTCTTTATTTAATATGTTCTCTGGTGGGTATTGGACATTTGGAAACTGTAATCCCCTCTTCAATACCTTTCCAATGATATATTACAACCCATACTTTGAGCACCTTATAAATGACACCCGATTGTGACGGAATCTGGCATGTCGGCCATCTTGGATTCCAAGATGGCCGCCATTTTTCTTTGAAGTCATGAAGTAGATCAAACTTACTTTATGGAGTGCAGAATGAAGCATTTTTAACAGCCGTGTAGTGTCATTTGATGCTGACCTCATAATTGCAGTACATTTTAATGGCGGTTTTAACCGCAATCCAAGATGGCCACCATCTCACAGAATGCGTATGTTGCAGAGGCATTTTGACGACAGAATTGAATTTGTCGTCCATTTTTCATCTGGGTGTCAAAATTTCAACTTATTGCTTTTGATATTACCAGAGTTATTGTAGGATCTTTAAAATACTATTTTAGCCTCAAAAAGCCCTATTTCGAGGGCGTGTTTTGCTTATAGATAAGTCTATTACTTTTTGTCAGAAAAATGTTGCCATCTGCGATGAGAAAAATGTTCATAGAAAACTTATTTATTAACCGATTTTGAGAATTTAAAAAGTTTCTTCATGTTTGAAACAGGCTGCATGCATTAAAACAGAGAAAAACACATCATCTGTTATTTGAAATTTTGATGTGGTAATGCTACTGTTTAACCCTTCCTGAGCTAACCACTTCATACCCATAGAGGGCTATGCAATTATTAAACATACATTATGCAAGAGCTAAATCTGATAATTGCAAGTCTTCGTTGATTGATTAAATTTTTAAATGGCGTCGTAAGCTGTTGAGCGAGGCCGCATGTCAGTCAATTTGATTGAAAGTTCGATATACATACATATATACGGCCTTGATATTATGTTTATTTGTGGTTAAAATGAGAGTTTGGATGTCAGTATTATAGGCTACGCTAAATCTTTAGTCACTTGCGTTTACAGAAAAATTATAGAAATTGATAAACATCGCAGCTAACTTCACCCCAGTTGAATTGCAGCTCCATTGGATCACTGTTCGGGAGTTACGCAGGCCTACCAATATGCCTCATTGATTTGGTCCATTCCTTTCAAACTTTCGCTTCTTATCTATATATTAAGTCTTATTTTTAATTTGTGGTAAAAATAAATGTGATACGAATTGAATTGCAACCCCGTCTCAAACCACAACCATTGAAAACGTTACTTGATAATCGAGATTATGTAGGTGGAGTTCACGCCTGTCAATCAAACGGTCGTCTATTCTCGGAGACGGTGAAGAGAGAATTGACTCCCATTTCTAGTCAAAAATTACAATAGTGATAACTTTGTTCAGAATAAAGTAATTTGACTGAAATTTTCAATATATTCTTCTTTCATCATCTATTTTTGAACTGTTATAGCAAGAATGGCCAACTCTCTATTAAAATCTCCCATAATGTATCTTTAAGTAAAAATCAAGCTTTAGACCCTGTTGTGAAAAAACATGCATTTTATGGTTACCATGGTTACCAGTGGGTTTCAAAATGGCTGCCATATTATGTCATAAATAAAATATTGGATATTTTCTTGCCATTAAAAAATTCAAGATATGTAGGAATAAAGCTACATGGATTATTAGCATGATTGATGTCTCTTCTGTAAGAATAGTATAGTTTTTTGGGGGAAAGTCACTAAATTGTGATAATAATAGGATTTTTTTTTCAAAATAATAAAATGCAAACGATCAGTATTGACATTTTTGCTGTAGATAACACAAATATAAAAATCATCAGTAACAATTTTTTATTAATAAAATAAAAACAAAATAAATTTTTGGAAAATAACAATGATATATACCAAGCTATTCACATTCAGGTTGCCATGGTAGCCAATTTGACCATATCACATACGTCTATATTGACAGCGATCTGCGCGACTGTATAAAAGCAGACGAATAATTTCCTCCGGAGAAGTCTCCCTTTTTTGTGTCTTTACTTTGTGACAAACATTTGAATTTTCATCAAAAGAAGAGTCCCCACTTGTAGTATAGTCACTACCCGAATCCAAAATAGACGTGATGTCATCAGCATTGGAACTCGCAGCTAAATTCAGCCGAAGTTTTTTTGTTGTCAAGGACGCCATTCCTCGACTGTTCTGACTTGATGGTTGTTCCGTCAATATAGGAATCCCCCTCGTAATAAAAACTTGTGTTGTACACCATCTTTCGAAAAAAGCGCAATTTAAACAAGGAAAGTTTGTTTACTAAAACTACGTATTTTTAAAAAAATTAACTACAGTTTTAATTCAAAACTTTATAATTTTCTGTGTGTTGACGATAACTCGAATCAGATGTCACAATAGACGTCATTGACATCACCTCCACGACGTCACATAGCAACAAGGCGGGTTTGTTTACAATTTTAAACGATGCTATTATTATAATGAGTACTATAAATAGAAAGAGGGGATTTCGCCGGTTGTTTTGGTGTAGGTTACGTGCGGGTGCGGGGCTTCCTTCGGCAAAATGGCTACATTTTTGGGCAAAATTGGTCAATTATGGCTTTGTTACAAGTAAGTTGACCTACTTTGAGTAAACTGTTTACTAATATCTCCATTTCTACCCTTTATCGATGTTTTCTGGCTAGTAATGTGTGCCAGGCTGAATTTTAACATGATCAAGTATTCGAAAATGGTCAAAACCAAATTCTGAAAAATTTTGCCCACAAATTAGCGTATAACTAGAAATCGACTCAATTTGCCATCACCGGTCACATATAGTACATGGATCATCCTTTTTATGAGGTGTCCAATGTATGACATAGGTACTAATATTTTAAGTAATCTCAATCACTGATAAAATTATACCAATAATAGGAGTAATGCATTTTCCTATAGTATTTGGTCCGGAGAACATTGTCAACCAGTGATGGGATTTTACCCGTATATTCCGGACTTGTCCGAATATTTTTTCGAAACGCCCAAAATTGTCCGACCGGGAATATGACCAATCGGACATCAAGACATGGTGAATAATATTCAAATTCCAAAATTGATATAGTG